ATCGTGCCCACGCCAACCGGCTTCGGCGGCGGCTGAGCTGGTCTGTACGGCACCGAGGCCGTGACGGGTGGGCTTGAGGTTGGACCAGCAGATGAATGGTGGCCATGCCCATTCGACGGACAGGGCGACGGCTCTGGCGATGGAGTCTTGTTGGGATTGCGTATGCCAAAATTTGTGTTGTTCGTCGATGAGTTGGTGCCGCGGCCATTGCTGGACGACGAGTTGGCGAACCCCTGCTTGGGCGCACTGCTGGCGTCTGCGAGGAAGTCCAGCTCCTCCTCAATGTTAGGCACGATCACCTTATTGCTTGCGTCCGCTGCCGCCGCCGCAGCGGCAGCCGCAGCATCGTCTTCCTGTTGGGCAGCCTCGATTTTCTCCTGTTGCTGCTGCTGGTTCTGGTGCTGCTGTTGCTGCTGCTGTTGTTGCTGCTGTTGTTGCTGCGTGTAGGCCTGTTGGTGTTGCTGCTGCTGCTGCGTGTAGGCTTGCTGTTGCTGCTGCTGTTGTTGCTGCTGCTGTTGCTGCTGCTGCTGCATGCACGCCGTGTATTGCGAGGCAATGGGCTGGGGGAAGGCTGGATAATATTGCGCCAGCTGGGTGAGATGTGATTGCGCCTGCGAGGACTGCAGATGGGCCGGCTGCGGCACGTGCTGCTGCTGGGTCTGGTGCTGCTGTTGCTGCTGCTGCGTCTGCTGTGGATATGTGGGTATGTTTATGGTGGCCGCCGGCGAAACAGACGCCGCATTGTTCTCCGTCTTAAGCGGGGCATTCCACTTGTTGTTGAAGTCGTAGTACGTGTTCTGTTGCTGCTGCTGCTGTTGCTGCTGGCTGTGCTGCTGCTGCTGCTGTTGGAGCTGATGGTGCTGCGGCTCCTGGGGACTGCGCACATTGCTGTAGTCGCTGCTGGTCGCTATCAGCGTTTTCTTCGGCTGTCGCTTGCGCGGCGTCTTCGCTGGCTTCGGCGGCGGCTTGACCTCTTCCTGCAATTGAGCGAAAGAAAGACCTGCGATTAGGATCCTGTTTGCTTTTGTGGCTTAAAATGCTATCAAAGACGAGGCTATCAAAACATTGGACATGGCATTAGGGACAGCATAAAACAATTATACTCTGCCTAAGCAGAGATCGGTCGGTCTCCACCTGGATCCAGATCCACCGCACTGAACGTACCACATTCATTACATTACAGCATAACGTCACAGTTTCAGATCGGCCACAAGGCAGCTCTTCAGCACGAAAAGATTAGCAGTTAGCAAAGCAGTTAAAGGAAGCAAATAAAAGAAAAAACATAACAGATCCGAGACAACTAAAGGGTGTATAGAAAAGTGTACTCTTCCACCAGCAAGTTACAAGCGAATGTTAAAAAGAAAGCCCCAAAAAGAAAACAGAATATATTTTCCATTGATTTAAATTTGGGAGCAACAACCAGCAAGAACGTCAAATATCTCATCAGCGAACCCAGAATAGTCATGCACACGACATGTATTATGTGTTTTATATACATTGGAAATACAAATGGATAACTTTTAAAGGTAACCCACACTGGAAATGCATTGCTTTATGTCCTAGAAATTCTAAAAGTATTTCAAGAGGGGACACCGGGGGAAGAGCTGAAGCTCCAAAGAAAATATTCGGAATGAAAAATCGTAAAGAAAAAGCGCAAAAAAAAGCATAAAATAAAAAACACCAACAAAACGAGCAAAACAAAATGGAAATTGAACAAACAAACAAAAAACTATTCGGAAATAAATAGAAATAAGAAGATACAAACCTTTGGCACTACTTGAATCTGTGACGCTATGTTGCCGCTCGCTGGCGACATTATCATGTTGGCCACCACATGCTGGCGCCGGCCAGGGGCCTGCTCGTGCAGTAGGTGCTCCCCATCGACCACGCCGGACGGATAGAAGGTTTGCTTGATCTCCAGGCCTGGCGGCAGGTTGAACACCAGATTCTCGCTGGTATCTCCTCCGTCAGGTTCGCCCGCCGTTGCCGCCGCCGCCTCGCTGGCATAGTCTAGATGCCGGTGCTCCTGTTTCACATGCAGCTGCAGCACATTTTTAATGTCCTCCTGGCTGCCTGTTCCCTCTTCCAGCTTCTCCCAGCAGAGGTTATGTTCCTGCTGCTGCTGCTGCTGTTGCTGCTGCAGCGTACTTTGTATCACAGATGAATAGGCCACCGTTGTGGGCGCCGTCGGGTGCTCAGACGAACCAGCGCCTGGCACATTCACCACCGATCGTCGCTGCCCTAGAGGCGCCGTCTTGTAAACAATCACTTGAGCCTGCGGCGTGCTGACCACGTCCACGGCATTTAAATTCGTGATGGGGGATCCGTCCGCCGAGCTGAGAGCTGGACTTGCATACTGTGCCGGATAGGATCCCCCCGAACTGGCGGCTCCCACTGGCACAGCCACTGGCACTGGACTAGCACTTTGCTGCTGCTGTTGCTGTTGCTCCATGTGGATCTGTTGGGCCTCCTTGCGCGTCAGCTTCACCTTCTGACCATCCAGCGTGTAGTAGGTTTCTGTCTCTTGGATATCCTGCTGGAGGTGGTGGTGCTGCTGCTGCGGGTGCTGCTGTTGGTTTTGCTGCTGCTGCTGCTGTTGATGCTGCTGTTGTTGCAGCTGCGTCAGGTATATTAACTCGTTGTATGCCTTTATTTGCGCCTTGGCTTGTTGTTGGGTGTTTTCTTGCTTAATCTGCTAGACACGCAGACGAGGACGGGGCACATAGATTGAATCGGAATCGGAAAGTTTTGGTTTTTGGTTTGGTTTTTGCATTTTGATTGTGATTTGAGAAACTCATGTGTTCATGGTTGGTTTGGATAAGGCAAAAAGGTCTAATCTAGGCTTATATGGTAGGGTGGGATTAGATGGTTAGTAGAGCAGAATGACAAATAATGCGATTGGCGGAACTTCAGGCGGGAGTGAGAGATTCAGATTCGATTCAGAGATTCCGCTTCCGCTGAAGTCCCCACCCCACACCCAGAGACGCAACTGATTAGGTAGAGATAAGGGGGGCCGTGCGGCTGTTACAAATATGTCTTTATGTATGGTATGGATTTGTATGGTATGTCAGTGAGAGATCAGTAAAGCGATAGTATTGTAGAGGAGTATTCTACTCACCACTTTCTCGGCCACCAGGTTCAGCTGCTGCTGCTGCTGTTGCTGGGCCGCCTGCTGCTGTTGTTGCTGCTGCTGCTGCTGGGCCTGCTGCTGCTGCATGGCAAGGAACGTGTTCGATATCATATTGGGCGTGTTCCAGGTCAGCGACGTTGAGGTCAGGGCTACAGTCGTCGGCGAAGGCGAGGCGCCGCTGGACGACGAGTTCTCGCCGTAATAGTTGGAGGCAACATTGTTGACCACTGCTGCTGCTGCCGCTGAGACGGCCGCCTGGTTTTGAAATGTGCTCAACTGCTTGTCCAGCGAGCTGGGGAGCTGCAGCTGGCGGTGCGGCGTGTTTGCCGCCGAGGAGGCATAGTGGGCGGGCTTCGGCTGTACACTAGCCGCAGCCGCATGATGATAGATCTGCTGGAATACTGGATTGTAGCTGCCGATCGGTGATGGTGGCACAAAGCTCCCCCCACTGGCCGCAGCGGCATTGAAGCTGGCAATGCTCGCCGCGGTTATAGTCGCCAAATGCGGATGCTGGAAGTCCTCGGCCGTGCCGCCCGTGCTGCCAGCACTCGCCGGCACAATGCGGTTGTACGCATATGACCAGGGGCTGGAATTGGGATCCATGTGAAGGTAATGGCTGTTCTGCTGCTTCTACTGCTGCTGCTCGTAGTAGTAGTAACTAAAAAACAAAGTCGAGATGTGTTTTTGTAAGTATTTTCACTGTACCATTATCGGGTGGTGGGGGAAGCTGGTTTTCGCGTCTCCTATTAGCAGGTGGAAATGCTTTATAAGCGGGACTCCACTTCCCATCCACCACGCTGCTTCGATCAAAATATACACACAAGTGTATTTACATGTGTACATACAGGCTTATATGCATGTATGCATGAATGTGCCCGAAGGGAACTACTTCTTTTGGCGTCGTCTGTATTTTGTGCATTTTTGCTTACACATAAACTAATCCGCGCACGGAGGGTGGGGGGCAAACAATGTTTTGTTTCATTGAGGAACGCACATTTTACTTGTTCAGGGGCGCACATTCATTGAAAAGATATGCCTTTTTCCAGAATTGCTCGATTTTTTTAGCACTTTAAATGTTGTACATATGTATCTATACATACACACATGCATGTGTATGTGCATGCGTGTGCCTGCGTTGTTGAGATTGAAAGATAGCCACACTAACTTGTCGTTGTCGTTACAGATTCGGGAGGCGCGAACTGCGTCGGGTCAACATTATTTGTATATTTAATTATGCACTGCTTAATGCACAAGGTAAATTTTGAGTTCAATTTCAAACTAAACTTTTTTTCAATTTTGATGCATAACTTTTTTGTGGACAATCTCCAAAATGGCCGCTTCGATATCGAAAATATCGATGGTTTTGGAATGGGGCGATGGTTTTTTTATGCAAAATCGATGTTTCAGTGTTTGCCGCGATGGTTTTGAGATATTAATGAACCTCTATGAACCTCTAGATCATGGGTATAGTGCCGAAGTGAACCGGTTCGCGGCGCGAGTGTCTTTTGTTGTTATCGTGGTGCCAATTGATTAATGCATGTTTAGTTAAGAACTTTATTTTCAATTTTTTTTAAATAATGAGGTAAGTTAAACCGGCGCGTCAAAACAATATGCACGGCACGACAGCAGTTAATTTCCAGCAGCCAGGGCGTGTAGGCACATCGCATGACGACCACAAGTGTTGTAAAATGGCGGATTTGGGTGTTGGGCTGAGTGGTTAAATTAGTTTTCCACTATTTTGTGACACCTTATATGCATTTATATTCGTTTAAATAATTTACCAGGCCACTCACAAATTTGTTGTGGTTTTATAAACTACAGCAGTAGCAACAACTCTATTCTATAACCGGGCGTTAATCAACACAGTGCGAGATAGTTCGATAATTTTTCTGCGATATTTCGGGTGCTAATGACATTCATTTTACGTATTCATTGCTAAAAGAAAACCGAAAAAACATATATTCTCCCCGGATTTCCTCTTAGTCATCCACATATCTGATCTTTGTTTCGTATTGCAAACTTGAACGAGAGGTATGTAGCAATCTACAGTGGGTTCGCTGGCACATAATGTGTGGCCAGCTTGAGCCTGCCCTGCGTACGTGTAAATGGAGTGAGACGCCCACTAAATAATCAACATATTTTAGCTTAAAAAGAGATGGATTTCGGTGATGATTTCGCATTGAAGGAGGAAGTCGATCCAGCGGCAGAGTTCCTGGCACGAGAGCAGTCGGCTTTGGGAGATCTCGAAGCAGAAATCACAGGCGGCTCTAGCACGGCCCCAGATCCAGCCACAGTGGACGATGCTCTTGGGCTTGGTCTTGGTGGCCTGAGTGGTGCTGGTGCTGAGCTGGGCAGCGAACTGTCGGCGACCGGAGGCGGCCTCGAATCATCAACAGGCAGCTTCGAGGTGATCGGCGGCGAGTCGAACGAGCCCGTAGGAATTTCCGGACCCCCGCCCTCTCGGGAGGAACCAGAGAAGATACGCAAGTGGCGGGAGGAGCAGAAGCAGCGCCTCGAGGAGAAGGATGTGGAAGAGGAGCGAAAAAAGGAGGAGCTGCGGCAGCAGTCGAAAAAGGAGCTGGACGACTGGCTGCGCCAGATTGGCGAATCGATTTCAAAGACGAAACTATCATCGCGAAATGCTGAAAAGCAGGCCGCTTCATTGGAAAACGGGACCATCGAGCCGGGCACTGAATGGGAGCGCATAGCCAAGCTCTGCGACTTCAATCCGAAAGTTAACAAGGCGGGCAAGGATGTCTCTCGAATGCGTTCCATATACCTGCATCTCAAGCAGAATCCAATTCAGTTGCAGAAGACCACCTAAGTGTCAGCAGTCGACGCTATGGCTTTGCCTGCCAACTAGTTTTAATTATGTACTCGCCTAACCACACACATTGAGTTGAATATGAAAAATTATTATTGAAAAGTATTCGCTGTATATTCCAATTATATGATAAATACATTATTATTGCTGCTGACAACAATTTGAGATCATGGTTCATGTTCATGTAATGAATGCAATAAATAATGTGCACACAGTTGTCGTTTAAATTATAACTAAATAAAAAACCAAAACCATCCAAAAATATCCTCAATCATTCCAGCGACACATCTCCCGATAAGGCAGTGGCGGAAGCAACCAGCTCGAAGCGGAAAGACTACCTGCATTGGGACGACTACTTCATGGCCACGTCCCTGCTCTCGGCTAAGCGCAGCAAAGACCCTGTCACCCAGGTGGGCGCCTGCATTGTGGACCAGCAGAAGCGCATCGTTGCCATTGGTTACAATGGATTCCCGCGCAACTGCAGCGATGATGAGTTCCCCTGGTCCAAGTGTCGCGATTCCCTCGAGGACAAGAAGCTGTATGTGGTCCATGCCGAGGCCAACGCCATACTCAACAGCAATGGCGCCAGTCTGGTTGATACGACCCTTTACACCACGCTCTTCCCGTGCAACGAGTGCACCAAGCTCATAATACAAGTAATCCCCACTTTTACCCACTCATACAATAACATACTGTAACAACTTTCGTTTCTATTCTCAGTCGGGCATCAAGCAAGTGTTCTACATGTCGAACAAGTATGCCCATAAGAAGAATTACCGCGCATCCAGTCGCATGCTCAACGCCGTTGGCGTGGTCTGCACCCGTCACGTGCCAGCCAGGAAGCAGATAGTTATTGACTTTGACGCCATCCTCCAGGACGACGAATGAAACGCTCATTCTAATGACAAGATTATGGTTATGTAAATTGCATGTACATTTTTGAAGTATAATTTGTTGTAAGTAATGGCCCTTCTTTTAATTAGTGTGAATTTTACAATAAAACTTTAGACAAGGCATTTCTACATTCTACAGATAGATTGATTGTTTACTCTTGTGGGTTCTGTGGTGCACTCGTTGCAGATCCTGTGGTAGCTGGAGTTTCAGAAGACGCTGTTGGTTCCTGTGGACCACTTGTGGGTACTGTCGTAGCTGGAGTTTCAGAAGACTCCTGCGGAATACTCGTTGTAGGTGCAAGGGTAGATGAAGCTTCAGAAGATGCTTCAGCGTTAGCATTTGTGGAAGACTCTGTTGGTTCCTGCGGGCTACTCGTAGGTACTGTTGTAGCTGGAGTTTCAGAAGACGCTTCGGAGTTAGAACTTGTAGAACCACTCGTAGGTTCTGCGGCAGATGTACTCTCTGTTGGCCCTGCAGAGGGAGAAGTCGTCGGTTCCTGCGGGCTACTCGTTGTTGTTGCTGGGCAGCTATCCGGTCGAATGGCCACACATCTGGAGGAGGCCGAGTCGAAGAATGGTTCTGCCCCATTGCACTTGTACAGGATGGCCAGCCACGTGACGCTACTGACCTTCTCGCAGTACAGATAGCTACTGCATGTTGCGTCGTTGGTGTATCTCGTATAGAAGTAAGGGAAGTTCGAATTGGCAGGCAGGTCACCTGCCTCTTTGCAGGCCTTCACCTGCTCATCCAAAGTGGGTACCGTTGGGTTTGGGGGTGCCACATACTCACTATTGCTGCATGTCGCCGTCTCGTTCAACTGTGTATCAAGCAAGGATTCAGCAAGGGTAAACTACCATTGGTTATGGGTCGAAACACTTACGAAGGTGGCGGCACAGGTGGGCACACAGAGGGTGCCGTGGGTGGCGAGTGCCTCAATCACACAAATCTCATCCGTGCCGCAGCTGTAAACATTGGCAGTGGATGCCTGCTGATCGACACATCGTACAAATTGGGTCTTGCTGACGCAGCTGTACTTGTTGCTGCCGATGCAGACCTCACAGTCGTCACCGTTTCCGCCGGGTGCACCGCACACATCCAGCACACTAGATCCATCCACAAGATAACTCAACACGCAGACATTCTCGGTGTTGCTGCAAACGTAGCCGCTGTCACACGATACAATGTCGCCAATGGGATTGTTTTCTGTGGGGTAGCTTCCTTGAGTGAATGCTTTTGGATGGAAGAGTCCAAACTGAACTTACGCATGCAATTTCTATATTCGGTCTGACTATGACAGTAGGCCGAATTACCGCTCTGACACTCCTGGCACTTTTGTGCCGACACGAAAGCTAATAGGCCGCAAGCGAGGGCCAAAATGGCGGTGATCTTTTGCATTCTAACTGAAAACTGATTCAAATGCTGTTACGAAGGGGTCTTATATAGCTGGGAGCCCAATCTTATTGCCAAATTCATCAACCTTCATAAGTTTATGGGCCGGGCTACAATAATTTGGCTTATCGGAGTTGTATCGGCCTGTCCAAGTCGTAAATCTGCCATCATTAAGTAATTTCGGGAGTTTTCAGCGAATTTTTCATACCATATCAGTAAACAAGAGAGAATGGTGTTTGTGTGTATGTAGATTGTTGTGATTTCCAAGTGCTCTTATCAGCAAAATTATTTTTCCGTTCCATTAAAGGGTAGGTCGGATATACTTACATATGTGGGAGAAGTTTTACATTTAATCAGCTTTATGTACCCACTTACAGGTGCTCCGTCATCGAAAGGTCAGATGGGACTCACATGCAACATCTAATTATCGTTGTACACCCTCCCAACTGCACCTAGGAGAGTTTCACAAAGGTTGAATGGCGAATTGCTTAGAACAGAAGAAATCATACTCACAATTTGAAAACCTTGAAGTGACTGAAGACATCATAAATATCCACACTTAACTTATTTTGTATCTAAGGTGTTTTCTATCATTGTGAAAGTACTTGGCCAGTTTAGAAATTTGAAATTGTGCACCAGAAGTTGAGGTACAAATATGCATTCAGCTTTTATGAAACGAACCGGACCGGACCGAGCAAAACGGTGATGGGATGTTTAAAAATGGCATGCCGGCACGAAGGAGCGTCACCCTGGGTGGAGTGCCACCAAGCCAAGAAGTAAGTGTTACTGGGGATATGCAAAACAGTGCGGTTAACCGGATGCCAAGAGGTGCCGCCATCTGGTCTCACGCAAACTCCATATACCCAGGGGTACTTGGGAATGTGCATACTTATATAGAGTCGTTTGTTTTCTTAAAGGTGTCTCTTGTATTATCCAAGTCCACCAAGAATGGGTTTTAGTTCTAAAAATTACTGCACACTTGATCTCCATATTTGCTTGAGCTCAGGATATGCAGATTGAACTTTAAGATAGTTTCAGAAACGACACACAATATGGTAGAGCCAGAATTTGTTTTGGCCAAGACTTTCAGTTGTCACGGAAAGTTGTGTTCCCCCTATTTGGAACTACTGCCAAGGGCGGAAAACCCTAAAGTTGTTGGCGACCTAACGGGGTCAGCGTGTAACAAAGCCCTAATTTTGGGTTTCGTGAACTTTAGCTACACATTTTCTAAAATCACATCGAGTGGCCAACTGAAGGCTTGGCGGCACTGGACTACTTAGAATGTGTGCTACGGGTCGGTCACCCATGCATGGGGCAGCAATAAAAGACACGACATCAAAAAATAATCAATATACTCCGAGGTATACAAATATACAAAGCTAAAGAATGGCATTTTTTTAAGAAGAAAGCCGGTCCGGCTCTCTTTTCAATAATAAACGTTAACCTTTTGAATACGTTAAAAAACAAAGAAACATTATATGGGTATTCGTTATGTCGATATCTTGCTTTATTTCTAATTGATCGGATACCAGTAGCTGGATATTAGGATCAAAGAGAGGACTTCGTTTTCGTGTGCCTTTGGGTATGATTCGCACTATAACGGAAAATAAATGTAAAATGCAGAAAAGATCAGCAGGTCTAACTCAGCTTAATATATTTATAACACGCTCTATTATTTTCGGTAAACAAATGTCGCTGCCAAAGTGTTTTTAAGTGCAAGTTTATCCATAAAAGACCTCTCAAGAGAGAATTAAAAACAAAGGGGAATTCGTCACCTTGTTTAAATACAGTCGCAGCATCAGCATGGCTCTCCTCTCACCCTCACCTGCCTCCTCTCCCACACTCATTTGTCAGAGCACAAGTCACATGGAATAGATGGTAAGGCAGTCCAGAAGAGCAGCCTCTAATTGCCCTGAGCTGCCTTCCAGACAAAGGGACATATAAATAGAGAGAGAGACTGCTTTACCTGTTATTTTGCATTCCTTGGGAGAGCGGGTCTCAAAGAGCGCGCAGCCTCCGGAGAAGAGCGAAATGGAGCAAACGGGAAAAAGTGAAATGACACTTGGAAGGTGCAATCAGCTGATATGGACGATGCCGTTTGTTTTGCTTTGCCCATGCTTGCTGCTGCTGCTGCTGCTGCTGCTGCTGCGACGTCACTTTGAGGAAACAGAAACACCAACAGAAACGGTAAGTGGCGGCGACTGCGACGCCGACTGGCGACTGTGGGGCCACTGTGGCCAAAAAGGATTTCCGAGCTTCTGGCCCGAATCAGTTTGTAACGGAATTCCATGAGAGACGGACCGCAAATACCAGAGAGTGCCCTCCTCGCTGCCTCCGTGTACGTAACGGTGACGCTGCCCGCTGCTGCTCCTCAGCTCCGCGCGCTATTTCGGAATCATAGCGCAGATATGCGACGGTGTGTGGTGTAGGTCTCGCCTGTTGTTCTTGTTGCTGGTCGTGGCGGTGGCGGTGGCGGTGCGGTGCTGTTTTGTCACCAAAAGCATTCTATTCTGTGTTTGGCTTCATTTAATGCTTTTCGCCGCCTTTGTACTAGTTTTCGTTATTGTTGTTGCCGATTTAGGATGTGGCTGTTAATATCTGTACATATGTATGTACATGTGTATCTGCGGATGCGGCACTATGTGTCTCTGCGCTTATAATTTTATGACCACTTATCCCTCCGAAAGGAAAGGCGAACTGTCACCTCCTCGCATATATTGATGTATACAGTGTTATGCAGGCATAATAATTTCCCCCCCAAAACATGATGGGGCTTTTGCTGTGCAGTGTAATGCGTTTTCTTCTCAGTGTGCGTATGTGCGTATGTATGCCAATTATGCGAACAACAATAACTTAAGGCGCCAAGCCATGCGAGAGAGAAATTGGTTTTTGACTAAAGAAAAGTAAAAACATATTTACATATGTACATAAGTAAATATTTATGTAGAAATGTTTGCTTGCACGTTGGTACATACAGATGCATGTGATATTTATTTAGACAACTCTCTCTCTCTCTCTCTCTCTCTTCTCTCAGAGATATGAATACCCAAACGCACACAAGCACACATCTACGGACTGAAATTTGTTTAAAAAATATGCAAATATTAGAACAAACAAATGTTTAAGGTGATGAAAGACCCCAAGAAGACATTTCTGACCGAATTGCCAAGTAGATAAAACGACGCTGCGGGTCATTAAATGTGTGTTCGCTTAGATATGGAGAATAAATACTTTTGTATATACATAAATATTTCACATAAATATATGTACATGTAAATTTGTTGTTTGCATCAACAGCAGGAGCAGCAAATAAGACATGTAATCACATTTGATTGATATGATGGACCTGTCGGAGTTAGTGTAGCAGTCTTTTATATACTCTTCCTACGGCGTAAAGCTCCTTTAATTGCCTCTGCATAGCAAACGAAAGTCGATATATTTATAGAAATAATTGCTTAACAATCAAAACAGGTAGCTTGTATAGTTCCACGACTACAATCCAACCATTGCTTGGGGGTATTTACCATACCATTTGAAATCTTATCACTCACATCATTCACATTTCAGTACATTGTCAAAATAGTAATGATACATATTAGATTAGCTCGAGTGCTTTGCCCTACCCTTTGAATGGCAGTCAGTCGAAGATTAAAATTCCTCATCCCAGTGACGTTTTCCGAGCTTCAGATCCAGAAACGCAGGCCGGCCCCCACAGAGGCAACCAATTTCGCTGACGTTTGGCATTTGATTTTGGGGCTTTCCTTTTTACTTTCCTTCTTTCCCTGAGATTCACTTGTTTATTTATTTTCGTGATTTCTTTTATTTTTTCCATCGCCTGGGAGTTTTTCTTTTTGTTTTTGTTTTTTTTTTTTATATTGTGCTCCAACTTCCAGCGGCTTCATTCCCCTAATGTGCCACCACTTTTGATTTGATTTTTGCGTGGGCTTTAGGACTAAACTTTTTTTTTGGTTGGTTATTGAAATGCCAATGGCATTAGAATGTGGTGCAAAGAAGAAGGCTCTTTAAGTCTTGACACTTTTCGTATGTGCGATGTTTGTTTTTGGGATAAAAAATTCCAAAGGACTAGCCGCAGAGCCTAGAGAATCTTGAGAAAGGAACCCAATCTGAGGAATTGTCAGAGGCACAAGAGTACCCAAATCATCTAATCAAGACTTGAAATTTAAGACTCCTGCCGAAAATCGATTTAAATAAGTCGTTTACCTTCCATCCCTGAAACCATTTAAGGTGTCGTAATTTTCGCGCTTGATTTGCCAACCAAAAAGAAGGAGAAATTTGGTTACACTCCGACGGCAATTAAGGCAAAACATCAACTTGCCGCATACTTTCCTATGAAATACACTGCCCGAAACCTTCCCTGAGTTTTTCTTTTAATACGTTCTTATAAAGTTATAATCCAAAGTACCGGGCCTCAAGCACGCTTTTACTTTTTTAGATATTTATCAGAAATTTGTAACTCAATTTCACTTTACAACTTCACTTTTATGCCCCATTATTCTCCGAGTGTACGTAGCGTGAATAAATGACGGCTAAATACTTGCTTCGAATGCCTTGGGGCGCTTCTCACACAGCTGGTGGGCTGGAAATTCTGAAATCCGGGTCCATATGGCTGCTTAATGCTGGCAGAGCGGAGCGCCGCTTTTAAGGTGCCAAGCGCCTGACGCCCAATTTCCGTTTATCCCTAATTTGGTTTATAAATAACGAAAATCGACTCTCAGCATTGACACACATCCAACATTCACATGAGCATCGCATCCGAGAGCTGACATCATTGCAAAGTCGTTAAAGCCCGCGTGGCCTTGTTAATGGCCATAAACTGTGAAATTTAAGGGGAAAATGTTTATAGTTAATACGTGATAGCCAATGCCAAATGAGGGCCATGCAGGATACAGGTGCTCCCTCGGCAGGTACCCTCTCGGGCACGTGCCTACCCTTCAAATTGACTCCTCCTCGGGCAACTCAATTAAAAGCGCAGGCAACCTAATTACCTGCCAAGAGAATTTGAATTAACAAATTTGCGAGCCGTGAAGCCAGCAGACTTTTCTGATTCTCATTTGGCCTTTGGGCGAGGCGTACCCGAGGACCTTTCAAGTTGCTCACGGTTAAATGTTTTTGTAGCCATAGCCACAGTACGGGAAATGTTATGTGCCTTCAAAAAATACTTATTTGATAGTTGGAAACAGCTTAAGCCTTCATGTTGGAAACTAAATGAATTTTAACTTTGTTTAAGGCCTATTAAATGTAGCTTTTATCTTAATGAAAGTTGTTTTCATAAACGACACTCGTGCAGGTTTATAGTTTTAATTAGTAAGTTTAGGCAGTGAGGTCATAATAGGAAGAGGTTTGAACGCAGTAAAGAGAGAAATATTCCTCTAAAAATGCTCAGCTTGATAGCAAACTCATCTCGAGATTAAACATCAATGTGCCACTTCCTGTGGGACCAATGGGACCAATGACAGCCTGCTCTACAGCATGTGACCTAATGTCGTGCTAGTTGTTTGCCATTGACCCTGAGACTTGACGCATCATCTGCAAATAAGTACATTTGCTGTCAAGTTAATTGCTGCGGGGCGTAAGCGATGTTTGCTGAACTGAAATGCTGAGTGCCGGAGTGTCCGTGTCGTCTGACATGCAATTCATCGTAATTGAGTCAGCCAACAATCATCTTTTGGGGGCGCCACGCCACACCACACACGCAATGGGGCGGGATTCGGATTCGGATCCTGCCTCCTTCACTCCATTCGTTGGTGGACAGAACCTATTATCGTCAATGTCCGTTTAGCGGACAGATAGCTGCTGCTGCTGCTGCTGCTCCTCTGTGTTGTTCTGTTCGCTCTTTGTTCTGGGATTAATGGAGAAACAACGTATTCTCTCGTCCGCAATGTGCTGGCGTATAATCCCATTATCTTTTGATCCCTCTTGTCCTGACCCAAGGCGGCAGCGTTGCCACCCGGAACCGGAAATTGACCCCAAAAGAAATGGGTAATTGAAATAAATAGAGTTGGACCTCCAACCGGTACCGAAAAGTGACCTAGAACTTCCTCTAACGCTCTGGGCTTTTATTTCCGTTGGTTTCAATGGCCTAAAGATCAAATTGTGGCTTTTCCCCACTCCGAATATCCTTTAGATTTATTATTTCTGACGCATAAAGTTAGCGAAAATCCTTAAAGATATGCCAAAATGTTGCAGTCAACTCTCTCTCTCTCTCTCTCTCTATCTGTTCTGTCATTTTCACTTTAGACAAATTACATTTCGATAAAAGCCTTGCGCCCACTTTTACCGCCACATTTACATTTTTCGCTAACGCAATTTTCTCCTCAACAGTGCCATGGCAGAGGGGAAGGGTGTGGATGCGGTGGTTCAACTTCTAAAACATTTTACCTGGCAAACGATGGGCGGAACGTCACGGCTGGGGGGGATCTTTGACTACAGACAAGAAAAAATAATTGAAATATGCATGAGAAATCCCCTCCCTGTGGAAGATAGCGCCTAAAATTGTTATTTTCGGGCGCTAAGAGTTCTTCGATTCCCTCGTTTTGGTAGTTGCTAAAATTTAAACTCACTTTCTGGTGTTATCTCTCTCTGCTCGTTTTGCATTTCTGCCACAAAATGTGGCCCGTGCTATGCTTATTGTATGTTTGAAGCGATTAATCAATACACCCACCCATCCATGCTGCCTTTATATTTAGGTTACAATATGTTGCGCCACATCCCTCAACCCTCAACCCTCATCACCTTTCCCATTCCCATTGAGAGATGGGTAGAGAGGCTCCTCGTGCTCTGCTACAGGTTATCATTTTAATTTCACACTTTGCGGATGTGCCACTGATTCTGTTGCCACTGTTTTGGTGGGTGCGGCCACCCCCATCCGGTACGTTACGGGCTGAAGCCTGGGTGTGGCATATCGCTCAATTGGTGGATACATTGGTTCGTTCCTTTGGAGCCACTCGAGAGGAACAGTGGCTTCATAAAAGCTGAAAGCATTTCGACCATCACAAAAGACCCCTCGGGCACCTACCGTACCCCATATAAAAATTCACACACACACACACATACAGTAGTGGTCATAAATAGTGAAATGGCAACCGGGTCAACGGGTTTTGTTGGCCAAAACCCAAAGCAACTCCCTGCCCCCGCTTTGGCTATGGGGCAGTGTATATGATGATTGGCCAACAATTGGCAACGCATCAACGTGCTGTAGGTACGTGCTGGCCATAGAGCAAAAGAGAGTTTCATTTTGAGCCATAAACTAGTGGGGAGTGGAAACATAATAATTGCAGTGTATTCAAAGTTTCGATGGTTCTTCTTGCTGCTTTAACTATCATTCTTTTATTCTCCAGTCGATAAAGCGCAGCGTATTTGTTTCATTTCACTACATTCCTCCACACCCATGCACCCATTATGCAGAGATATGGAAAGTACTTATCAGGGAACGTTCCTCCTGCGCTATTTATTAGAGCAGAAAGCGAGTGCAGAGTGCTCCTTCAAAGCTAATTTGATCAAGGAGAAACTTAGCATTTCAATTTAACTTTTGTGCTCAACATAATTTCAGACTCGGGAATATTTCATCGTTTTGTTTCTGTTTCAGTTGGCAAGAGCTTTGAGACGCTGATTTGATGCCCCATGTTGCAACATCGCCAACATCGAAATGAATAAATTATATGAAAGTGAAATCAATTTGCATTAGGGCCGCCGACTAGCGAATGGCACCCACTCGCACCCCAAGACGAGCGTTCGGCGGAGGTGGACTCTGGCTGTACTCTGGCAAGTGAGAAGGGGGGGGGGCTGCTGACAAATTACATTACAGTGTCAGGCGAAGGCGAGTGACATCAGGCACATCAGACCTCTGGCCCCGGCGCATGTGTGAACGTGAACGTGGATCTGGAGACGCGCCTCACCTGCCTGCCGCCGCCTGACAGTTGTCGACGGGCCCAGGAACGTCACTGTGGCGTCTTAGGTTACGCTGCCCTGCCCTGCCCTGCCCTGCCCTGCCCTGTCCTCCCCTCTCCGCGGACTTTACGGTCTGTGACCTGTGACCTAGCCCCGGGGGCTAGTTTCTGACAGCTTGAGACAGGATTTGTCCGTCAGCCCGCAGAAGTATGCTACGCAGCTGCGTGTGCCTGCGATCCGAGGAGGACGGCAAGCGGCGCGGCTCCTCTGTGGAAGACGCCTCGTCGTGCCGCTCATCGGAAATAGAGCGCGTGGGTGCCAGCATGCAGACACTGGGTCCGAGCGGCCAGCCCCAGTCGGTGTCCGCCCAGACGACCACACGGGCCTCCAGTCTGCTGCAGCTGTTCCAAAGGAAAGGTTGGTGCAAGCACTTTCGCAAGCCACTGCGGGGAATGAGCGCCTCCCGTGCCGAGAAAAGTGAGTAAACTTGCTGTTAACCTTAGATCCATTCGGTTCACTGTCCCAGGGGATTTGTAGCAGAGCCACGCGGGCAATAGCGCCCAAAACCTAATCCATTTACGCTGTCATTGTTCCTCTGATGGTTAGGAATTAAGCAAAGTCTGGCCAGCAATTGGCATCGGTTGACGAACATGGCACTAAGCAGAGGATAAGGTCAGCTGAAATCTGGTCATGCTGACAAATTAGCTACACTAATAGGTAGGAATATAGGAAAGATCCAGCAGATCCCTGGAAACAAATGACAAAGGAGTTGTCTCAACATACCCTTAGAACTTTGAGGAGTCCCACAATTACCAAATGTCCCTTGTGTGTTCTTTGGTGTTAGCTCTGCGTCTTGTACTCCCCATCGAAAGACCTTTAAGACCTACTCTGACCGTGGTCGTGTTCCGGTAACCTTATTCTTTGTTCCAATTTATTTTACCAGCGATACACATGGATCCAAGCCAAAGAGACGACGACACACTGCTTCTCTGTCGCCGTCAAGGGGAAGGAACATCGCCAAAGAGGGCGCCCATAGTTTGTTGGGCTGTTGGTAAGACAGCTGGACAGTTGGCTATAACTAAGGCTTGATATATGTACAGCACACATACATCTGTAAGAGTATGGGTCAATACTCTGGCATGCATAGTAGTAGTACACCCCATTCAGCTAGTCACGCAGCCAGAAATGAAACCACAAACAAACGCGGACGTAGACGCAAATTGGTAGAGGGAAGGACGGCCGAACGGCCGAACGACCGTCCAACGATTCGATAATTGGAACAAAGAACACTGTGGAGGCCGTGTGCTTTGTGTACCTTAAATGTGTTTTTGTTCACTCTAACTGAGTGTTGGGCCCACTGTGCTACGCCAAAAACAACACTTTAGCTGCCACACAAAAGCAAACAGAACAGAGCAGAACAGAGCACGAGGCATCGCGTAGTTCTTTTCTACTGCTGCAAGTATTCTACGAGTATTGTAATAGTTGCCCAGTCGTTCGGGGTCCTCTATGCGGTTTCAAGCGGCGGGCACGGAAAAGAAAATAAAAACTTTTGTGCTTTTCATTTGAGTTTGAGGTTGCATTCGAAAGACAGTCACAGAAACAGAAACTTCGAGTATTTCTTTAGGGTTTGTTATTAGGTCGGACATTCTAAAGTGCATAACGATGACATTTGCAAACGCAAATTAACTCTCACCTTCACTGTTTCGACTTGAGAGGTCTCTGCGGCTGAGGCTTTTCCAAGGCTTTTCTTGCCCCCAGTTTATATAATTAACCAAAAACAGTCCGTGCCTTAAATGTCAGGGCAGTTTTATCCAGTTCTGGCAGCCAAAAGCAATATATATTCATTTCGTATATTCGTAATTTGTGTGTGCGGCCAAGAAAGTATTCGTCATGCAGCAGTGACTGGATATGGACACGGACTGACTATTCGGCATTTTCCCTTGTAACAAAATCCTCATTCAGGCCATTAGCGCTAGACGAAAGCTGTAATCAGGTATTCCAACATTAATTGCCAGCGAGATTAATCACAGCAGATTTATTCGTAAGTGGAAATGGCAGCAGAGAACAAAAAATGAACATATCTGCCAGTGCGCATGCCTCGTTAATCAATTGGAAACTCGTTTCATATTCGATTTTGAATTTACAGAGTGCCAAAACTGAAGCTGGAATCAGGCCAAGTCTAGCCATAAGATGGACCTGTATTTATACATCGATTTGGCCATTGAATATATTCTGAAATGCCTGCGGGCAGATCACAAAATTGTAGAGTAAAATCGGCCCAAAGTTTTCCAAATTCATTTCGAAGACATGACGAGGGAAAGTGCCCGAATTGTGACGAATACTTTTTTGTCATCGTACTTTATGGAGATTTCGAGTATTGTTAAATGACAAATTACCGGAAATAATAACCATTTGCAGCTGGGTATCGGACTGTACTGCGACGGATGTTGAAGCAATTTTCGACCCATCTTATGGGCTGTATAAATTTGAAAAAGAAAAAGCCACCGCCCCCACCAGACACAGCGACAAGTGTGTAAAAGATATTGAAAACTGCCGAAGAATTCATCCCAAAAACCAAACCCCTCTCTCTCTCTGGTAGAAGTAGAACTGTTGCTGCCACAAAAACCCCAGTCTTGCCCTGCCCTGCCCTGCCCTGCCCTTGCCCTTTCTGCCCGACCATTTTTTGACTGTCTTTGACGTTTTCAGCATTCAGTGTGTGTGTACATTTTCGTATTGCAGACGTGTAAATTTGCATCAGAATGGATGAGAACGGCAAGTAATTAACGCGTGTACTGTCCATATTCCGCACAATCCAACCCAAACCCGCACCACCCACCCCCATCCACAACACACAAAAATTTGCATTTTGTGAACTTTGTACCGATAAGCGACGAGTCGAACGGGAAATGCTTGAAAATGTCAAAGGTTAAGCGTAACTTTAAGGAAAACTCCCCCCCGCCCTGCTTTCGACTGTCTTCAGGTGTTGTTTCTGTGGCTTTGATGTAGCATTTCCTCGAAGTCCTTCAATTCCCCGCACCCGTACAGTCGCTAGCAAGAAACCCACAAGACAGAAATTACTTTTAATACATAATTCCCGATCTATTTTGTAGCTATCAGAGCGGCAATATTTATCCAAAAATGGTATCGCAGGCATCAGGCACGTCGCGAGATGGAGAGGCGCTGCAACTGGCAGATATTCCAGAACCTAGAGTACGCCAGCGAACAGGACCAGGCTGAGGTAAGAAAAATGACCCCCCAGTCGACGTCAGACGATTGCATTTGTACAGTTTCAAAAGTCGATGGCATGGCAAGTCGAGGGAACTGTGCTGCAAGTGCAACCACAACAGTGTACCCCTCAGTACCCTTCCCCAACAGTGTGTCTGCCTATTCATCCGTAACATTCTGTTCTCCCGCAGCTGTACAAATTCTTCAATGACCTCATCAAACATATGCCCCAGGCAGCGGGCAGGAAAAACCAACACCATGCCGACTCCAATTGTAAGTTTTGCCACATGAAATGACCTCTAGAGTTTATCTGTCTCTGCCTGCAGTTTCCCTGCTGGAAGAAAAGGACGACATCATGGATGAGCTCGGGGATACTGTGGATGCCAAAATAGAGCTGCCAATACGAAAGAGTCACATCGATCTCCTCATTGACGTCTTCCGCAAGAAACGGGTAAGCTTGTACCAGCAGCAGCAGCATCTACCTGCCCGTGTCCCAAGCATAAACTCTCTGCTTTCAGGGCAACCGATTGCATCCAAAGTATGTGGCGCTGATCCTGCGCGAGGCTGCCAAGTCCCTCAAGCAGTTGCCCAACATCTCGATGGTGTCCACCGCAGTGTCGCAGCAGGTCACGGTCTGCGGCGATTTGCATGGAAAACTCGACGATCTACTTGTGGTGCTACACAAGGTGAGGGAATACACTCCATGTTCTACGCATACTTACGGGCAGTTCTTTCACTTACAGAACGGTCTTCCTTCATCTTCCAATCCCTATGTGTTCAATGGGGACTTTGTGGATCGCGGCAAGCGGGGACTGGAGGTGCTGCTGTTGCTGCTTTCCCTGTATCTGGCATTTCCCCAAGCGGTGTTCCTGAATCGCGGCAACCACGAAGACAGCGTCATGAATGCTCGCTATGGCTTCATACGCGAGGTGGAGGGCAAGTATCCTGTAAGTATTTTCGGCTCGCTCAAGGATTCGTAGCTAATTTATTCCTTCTGTCTGCGCTGCAGCGGAACCACAAGCGACTGCTATCGATCATCGACGAGGTCTACCGATGGCTTCCCCTTGGCTCCGTTCTCAACAGTCGAGTGCTGATCGTTCACGGCGGCATCTCCGACAACACCAGCTTGGATCTCATCAAGAGCATCGATCGGGGCAAGGTGGGTGTCTCGCTTCACTATCTGAATCTGAATGTTTAACGACTAATCATGTTATCATCCATGTTCCAGTACGTTTCCATTCTGCGACCACCACTCACAGATGGCGAGCCCCTGGATAAAACCGAATGGCAACAGGTACAGCAGCACACCCATAGATGGGCTTCCATTTAGCTTTATTTCATTCGGTCCTGCCATTGCAGATCTTCGATATCATGTGGAGCGACCCACAGGCCGTGATGGGCTGCGTTCCGAACACACTGCGTGGTGCTGGCGTTTGGTTTGGCCCCGATACCACTGAGAATTTCCTGCAACGCCATCGACTCAGCTACGTCATACGCTCCCACGAGTGCAAGCCCAACGGGCATGAGTTTATGCATGACAACAAGGTGGGTGAATCACTCTTTATCCCTCGCTCAGACCTCTCCTATAATCCTTGACGCTCCCCACAGGTAATCACAATCTTTTCGGCATCCAACTACTATGCAATTGGCTCCAACAAGGGCGCCTACATACGACTCAACAACCAGCTGATGCCGCACTTTGTGCAGTACATTTCGGCAGCCTCGCAGTCCAAGCGGCTGTCCTTCAAGCAGCGCATGGGCATGGTGGAGAGCTCTGCGCTGAAGGAGCTCGCTGTGAAGATGCGCGACTATCGCGACGAGCTGGAGGATGAGTTCAAGAAGTTCGATTCGGACAATACCGGCTGCATAACCATTACCAACTGGTGCTATGTGATGGAGAAGGTCACAAAGCTGGGACTGCCCTGGCGTCTGCTACGCGATAAGCTGGCTCCTGGCACCGACAGTCACATGGTGAACTATAACACCACTCTGGATCTGCTGGACACGGATGTGATTGTGAGTCTTTACTTAGTATTACTGTGAACCGAAAATATATTCCTTTTTGCTTTGCAGATGGAGGCCGAGGCAGATGGCACCTCGGTCATGGACGCTTTGTATGCGAACAAAGCCAGTTTGGTGGCCATCTTCAACATCATTGATGCAGACAATTCGGGTAAGCACACACCCCACTAGCAAGCACCCACAATGCAGCTGTACCTTCCATTCATTAGGTGAGATTACGCTGGATGAATTCGAGACAGCGATTGATTTGTTGACGGCGCACATGCCGGGCGACTACTCCAAGGAGGAGATGCTGGAAAAGTGTCGCATGATGGATCTCAATGGGGATGGCAAGGTGGATCTGAATGAGTTCCTGGAGGCCTTCAGGCTGAGCGATGTGCAAAGGAGACAGCAGCAGGACGAGAACATACGCAGGCGCTCGGAGGTCAGATCCACAACAAAACCTTCGGATCCCGTGACCGAACTGGCGGAGCGCATACACCGGAATACCGTCATTGTGGAGACAGATATAGATCCATCGGACTGCGAGGCTAAAGTTATCAAACCCAATTAGGCATAGAGACACCCAGGATGACTCTTTGGGCACGTGACTCATGAGAGACCATCGGAATATGTTTATTTAAACATGAAATCCCCAGAAAAATTGTATGTCATTCACGAATTATACTCGACACAGTTCTCCACAGCACTTCTGATGATCTTTTTTTATCGTTCCCCGCGGAGCGTCATATTCAAGGCATCACAAATAAATTCTATATGTGAATATATTTATAAATGATCAATTGTGAGATCTCATGACACATTTTGGCTCGTCGGCCGGCCATTCCCGTACGCTTTTGATTTATATAAACATTTATAGACCATCGTATAATTAATACCCCGTATAACAAACAACCCGCAGTAATCGTATTGTGCACTCCTATAGCTTGTGCTTTCTTCAACTATAGACAAATATCGTGCACATTTTTTATAGCTACAGTAAAAGCGTAGAGAAATAAACAAAAGATTTATGTATGTAATATTTATAACGCTTACAACCTAAGTCAATGGGGAACAAATTGAATTTTATAATTAAAACAAAAACACAAACAAAAAGCAACAGTTAAACGTTGATGTTAAAGACATAAAATATTCCTAAATATAATTATAACTATGATTAAACCGCAAGCCAATTATGAAAACAAATACTCCAATCAAATCTCCATAAAGCCGCACAATTTTTAAATGAAACGAATGGCAAGAAACTAAATGACAGAAATTAAAACAGAACGAAATGGCAACTTATTTATGACTTAAGAATCATTTTACAACTCATCTGAGCGAGCAAACCATATATTTTAGGACATTTCTGTGCACGGCTTTTAGGAATCGCTTAATTATGATTTAAGTTGGGCTAAGAATCTGTAGAAATAAATGAATACCCAAAACCTTATTTTACATATTACTTTTCCCATTGAAAAATAAGATATACCAAGTTTTTGGGAGCTTTTATTTACGTGTTATTCAAGCTCGCTCTTAGCCTCCTCTGGAAATATCTTCTGTGAGTTTTACCCACTGAAACCTTAGAAATATTAGGTTCCAAACACAAGTATCTATTCCAAGCCATTTGAGACCAAAATCATATCACTTTATGCAGTTTTTGTTAGACTGACCCGAATGCATAGTCGATGTTTCGCCTTTAAAAACCCCGAAACTAGCAGAATGGAATTTATACATTTTTACACAATATATTTGGAACCACCTTGAATGTTGAATGTACAATGTATAAATGCAATGAAAGCAATTAATTACAATGTAATGATGATACAGCATAGTCAGTTATAGTCTCGATCAATTGATACTCTAAACACAGAATTGACCTCAAATCCGTATCAATTGGCCGTCAAATTTCCCAACTAAACGCAATAAAAACTTTTAAAATTAGCAATCCATTGATGTTGTGCTAAGTATTTAAGTAAATTATGAAATTAACATACTAATCTAAGTCGTTTGTTCGGATTGGAGAATGGGAGTTGCTCCTTTCCTTTGCTAAGAAGAATATACTCACAGGATCGGAATGGAATCGAGTACCTATGATATAACTATGTACAACCAAAACGCTTCTCAACAGGCACCGGTAGGACCAACAAATGTCATTGACAGACAATTAGCATTACGCTACGCTACGCTAGTTATCCATGAACATTTTACATACATAAATACTTACTTAATGCCATATACATAAATATGTTATTTAATTTAGGCATAAGATACTCGCACTCTAACTCTAACTCTTAATCCTTCTCTTCAATTTGTATCGTGAGTCACAGTTAATATTCAATAGTGAAAATATATACCTGAAAATAAACTTTACTAATTCAGCAGTTGAAAGAAAGTTCCTTGCAAATAGTAATTCCAAAGGATAGTTTCTGGTGCTCCCTTTAAACTGTCTGAAATCTGTTGGAGATCCAGCAAGCCTTCCTTTTTATTTTGTATTTTTATAAATAGTCTAAATCGGAAAAAAAAAATATATAAATATGAAGAAGAACTTTTCCCCTCCCATAACCATAAATCCGAATGCCAAACACTTCACCGACTCGTTGGCAAATGTTTTGTTCAGCATGGAAAAACTAGAAAGCAAAGCACTAGCTTGGCCCACTTGCAAGGGCACCTCCAGAAGGAAGCAGGACCTCAGAAGCAAGCAGGACTGCTCCTTTCCGGAAGTTCCCTTAGCCAAGACTCCATCCAGCCTCCATCCGTTTCCTCAGAGACAGCCAGGCGGTTGGTGGGCGAACAGCAGAGAAGCTCATAGAAAAAACACATTTTATCAACTTCTTCGAGAAAACCAAGATCCGGAATCGTTGCGGAAGGTGCCACAGATGACGGTCTATTATCCCATGGGAAATCGTGTGGATATCAGCAATATGAACTATACGAGAAGGTTACCCAATGACGGCAAAGCTACAAAAAATTCACATCTGGCAGTGAATCACATCCACAAAATCGAAAGGCTACCAAAGCCTCCTAGTCCTTTATTGGCATCAAATGTACCGACAATTTCCAACTCACTAGAATTTGTACTCAGTTCCTCGTCGAATATGTTTGAACCGATTCGTAAATTAACTCAACATAAAAAGGCCACAGGAAAACCAAAAAGGAAGCTACGCAAACAAATTAAACGAAGTAAAGCATCGAACCTTTTGAAGGAGCAAGCAAGGCAGTGGGACACGATTAGTCTTGCCCGCTCAAAGAAATCGCAAAAGTCTGAAACAGCCTCTATTGCCCCCTCAATGCTCGAAGAAATTGTAATCGCTGAAATTCAGTCAATGCATCCGATAAGAAGCGGTTTGATAGTCAAGCCCTACAAACAAAGACTCGATGACATTCAAAATGATCAAGGGGAGTATCGAAAAAGCACCATCAAAGACAACAAAAGTCGTATAGAGGTGCATAATAAAAGGGAAGAAACTCCCACACCGTCCTATGAAGAGCAGCTGAGTCAGCTTAAGGAAATTCTTCAAGCAGACAATTCCTTGCAAATTTTCAACCATGATATAGACATTGAAAATATAGTGCCAGCCGATGTACTTCATTATCCATATCCTATGTTCGATGAAGATACTCCCAAAGTTGAGCCTACAGTGCAAACGAAACCAAACGGTGAAGTCAACTCGAAACGGAAGTTGGATGGAAAGAAAATAGAGCAACCTTCGGAGACGAAAGTTCCACAAAAGAACTCCGACTGTTGCATTTGCCAGAGGTTGCATCGGAGACAGACAAAGGATGCGCCCTTCATGGCGGAGATGATAAGGGAGCAAAAGCGGCAGGAGCTGCTGGCATACCGCTCCAGAATGTTGGCTGCCAATTCCAGCACAAGTCGTGGCAAGTGGTGCAAGACACTGGATAACTACGATCAACTTGTTCATCAATTAGTTTCATAGACTCACGCAATGTGCTACACGGAAACACAAGTTCTCTGAGAAGTACGAATATTCGTATTACTTCTCAAAGAAATTGTGTGTTCCGTAACTGGCTTTTGTTTTGAAATAGAAACGATGTTTTAATATATAATTTATGTATCGTACAAGTTGTGTTTATGTATCATAGCTTAGAGGTCAGGCAAGGGCACAAAATCTTACAAATTAAACTTCCTTTTTGATTCGTTTTTTTAAGTTCCAAAAATAATTTCCACTACGTACACAGTAATCGTATAATTTTGACTAGAATGTTGCGTTTAAATGCACTCAAAGCTGTAAATAAGGATCACAAAGGGCAGGCCATAGCTCTAAATTCTCTAAATCAAAGTTGGATAATAATAAAAACAGATTGTGGGTTGCATCTGTGTGCGATTAGCTTAAACTTAGCTGCGATATTTACATTTACAATGTGAGACTAGAGATGTACTCTCAGTTGTATCCTAATCCTACTCCAAGGTGGTCTACGTTTCTTATCCTGCTGTCATATGTATGTGAATGTGTACCCGTACTTTACAGAATCCTAAAAGTGTTATGGCTAAACGTAATCTGCATTATTTGTGCTGTTCCTATATATGTACATAATACTCTCGTTACTCGTTACTCGCTACTCGCTACTCGTCTCTACTGTTACACGGACACCTCCCGCGACTTGGAGCGCAGCCTCGTTTGCAGATCATCGTGTCCCATTCTGGACTCCTTTGTGGCTGTCATTTGCTTCAGCGTCACCGTCTCATAGTCGCTGCCACTCTCGTCCGCGAATTGTATGTCATCCAGTGCCAGGAAATCCTGCAAATCATTCGTCGCCTTCTCGCAGGCAGTCTCCTTCTCCACATACGACCCAGTCATCGAGTCATTGGGCTCCGTGTCGACTTCCAGCTTCTGATGCACGGCGGCAATCTCACTCGGGTGAGTCCTGACGGTGCGTATCTCGTGCTCTGGTGCAACGCCAGTGCCCAGGGAGCATGTCGAGAGGAATCTTTGCTTGGAGTGTCGTCGCTGCTTGCGGGACATGTACGGCGTGGGCTGCTTTCCATTCTTCTGGACAGCGGACGTCGTCTCGCAGGGGGAAGTTGCCTTGGAGGCGAGCTCGCTGTTCGGTGGCGAACGCTCCTCCGAGCTGGGCGTGTTGTCCGCCGTGTGGGAGCGGCTCGACTCTGTGTTGCTGGCGGGACTCAGATAGTGACCGTACTTCGGCATTTGAATCTCCTCGTACAGCGGCTCTGCCTCCTCCCGTTGCGGCTCAGGCGTCTTGTCTTCGTCGTCACGTTCGGCCACCTCCTCGAAGGGCGGTATCCACACCAAGTAGGCAGGATCCATGCCCAGATACGAGCCTGGTGCTGAGCCTGCGTTGATCACGTTGTAGTCGTAGTAGTCCAGCTCGAGCTCCTCCTGATTGCCCAGCGAGAACTCGGACCCAGGCCGAGCGAGCAGCTTCCTGCGGTTCTGCTTCTCCTTTGACTCCTTGGGATTGCTGGTCGTCCGAATGGTGGCAGTGCTGACCACGCTGGCGGCGGGTGAGTAACAGCCCTGCAATGAGGATATTTATTTAGCTGTAGCTATGATTTCTGGGTAGCCAAGTGTACGAGTACCAACTCACATTCGTCAGGGAAGAGCTGACACTGCGCGAGCCCAGGCGACCCATTCGCAGCGACTCGGACACGGAATGCAGCGAGCTGGCATCCTGCAGACTCTCGTCCAGACGGGAGGAGAGCAGCTTCAGGGTGACAGCATCGTAGCGATCCGAGTACTTGCTCATTCGCTTGCTGTTCATCGGCGGACTGTTGCACAGGGAACTCATGCCGGAGGATATGATGGACTCCGAGTCCTTGGCGCTGTCCGGCAGCATGTGCGCCTCCGGTGAGCATTCACCGTCATCCGCTTTGGAGGACAACACAGCCTCACCGGACGAAGGCGAACCGATGACACTGCCACCTTCCAGCGATCGCGCTGGCGAGGATCGTTCGTTACGCAATGTCAGCATTGAGGCGGAGCTGCCAAGCTCTTGGATGGGCTCCCTGAAGGATATAGAATGTAAGAATCTTTCGGTGGGGAATGGTTCTCCGCTTACTCACCCCTTGACAAGCAATCCATTCGGGCAGGCATCCTTAAACTCCGTCTCGAGGTTCAGGTTCTCGGCATCCACACTCTCCCGGAGGATGGAGTGGCGCAGATGGTGCTTGGGTCGCATCTTTACCAGATAAATAACCTCGGAAAGCAGCGTCGTAGTCGATGTGGCACGCGACGGTGGACCGTGCAGCGAGCTGAGCGATGCCCGAGGCGTGTGCAGGCGTGATCCCTCATCCTGTCGCAGTGCCACCGCCAGATGATATTTCCGATACCGCACCACATACTGAGCACCGAGCAGGGCGCTTATCAGAATGATGATACTGGCAAAGATCATGGCACTCAGGTGGACCAGGGTGAAGCGTAGACGTGACATCGCTGTTTTCTGGTGGATGGCGCGGCTCTTGCCCGAAATTCTGGTGGCCGCCATGAGAGTCGCACTGCTGTTGGCTACCCTGGCACCAGCTGTGGAATGGAGTCAATCAATTTGAGGTTGGAGTTGAAATTTTCAGCCAAAATACTTACGAAGCTGCTGCCCGACATTGGCCATGAAGCCTCCAGTACAGGCGGCCGCTGTTCCATCCTCAGGTGTGGCGGACGTCGAGTTGGCTGCCTCTCCCGATGAAAACTCCACCAAGAGCTGCCCACCGCTGGACTCAATGGCCACTGGAATGTGATTGTAGACATGGCCGCCCTCGCCAACAGCTCCCTTGAGAGTTAGGCCGCCGCCGCTGAGTTCCACCAGCAAAGTGGATGAGAGTGAGGGTCCATCGCGCACCTTGATGTACTGAGAGGCGCAGGGCAGGCGAAGGAAGCTCAGCACAAGGGAAATGGTTTCCTCACCATCCACCTGAGGATAGAGAAGTTTTCTTTGAGTACGAGTAGATATTATTGGGTGAATTCCCCCCTTCGAATTGGGGTCGAGAATTTATCTACGTTCAAAGGGAAGTTCTGCCTGCCTGCCTGCCTGCCTGCCTGCGTGAACGTGCCAATTGGTGGTCTAATCAACCCAATTGTATTAAACATAATCAAGGAGAAAGTTCGTTGCTGAAACGTTGATAGTTTTGGGGTCGGACGAGCACTGTAATGGAGTTGACAATACCACTGAAAGTGGAGCATTTATTATGCATGAATTCTGTCAGTGCCATCCCCAAAAACATCTCTGTGGCATGCAACATTAACTTACAACGCCTTTGTCACGGCGGCCGGCAGCATCTGAGGCGTACAGGAATTTTATTCATGGCCAGCACATTTCTGAATGGCATTTTGGCATTGTTCAGCTTTATGGTTATTGCCGCAGAGCAGAGCACTTGAAAGAAAGAAACTTTCCGAGCCATCAAGAGTGTCCAACGGTCAAGGGGGTCAAGTGAGTTTGTCTCAAGTTTTGGTGGGGGTCAGTCAAGGACACACACATACCTGTATGAGCCAGAAGGAGCGTCCCGGGCAGCTTTGAGTGGCTCCCGCGATGATCCGCTTGGGCTTCGAGGCGCCCAAGTGCACAATGCAGCCACAGCGACAGCCGGGTCCGATCTCCTGACTGACTTCCGAGTTGTTTGATTTGCTCAAAGAGCTGCCGGATGTCTCGTATATGCAGTCCCAGGTGTCGCCAATGCTCTTGCCACATTTCTCAGTCTCCACGGAGGCGCCCTGAAAGAGAAAACAAAAGATTTCGATTAGCTCAAAAGTTAGCGATTAAAATCAAAGTTGAATGAACATTTTTGTACAGTTTACAAAGATTTTTATTTGCTGTTCAACGAAAAACATAAAATATAACTAAATACTTAGTAGAAGAGATTAATTTCAAAGTCTCCCTCTTCCTCCACGATCTCCTCCATGTCGGATGTGCGAGTGACTCCCGTGATGCTTTCGGCACTGCGCAGGGACTTTGTCTCACTCGTCTTGGCATCCTCCACAGAGACAAGGAGTGGTGCTGCGGCTGGTGGTGGTGCGCTGCCCTCGCTGCTGGGCTTCTTCATGGACACATCACTGCTGCTGCCTTCGGGCTCTTCCAGCGGCTCCTCCTCGGCCTCTATGAGATCGTCCTCGCGAGAGGAGGACACATACAGCGTGGTGCCAAACTCCACGTCAATGATGGAGGGCTCGTCGCCGCGGCGTCGGGCTTTAGCGTCCTTGTCCTGGTCCTTGTGCTTTGTCAGGTGGTCGGGCAGTGTGAGATCCATCTGCTGATCGACGACTTCGCTTCTGAATATCTCGTAGGGCGTAGCCTTGGGCTTCTGCGGCATGAAGCCCATCTTGCCGGGTGCATACAACGAGGAGGTGGCACTGCCAATGGACACCACGGACGGTGTGCGAGGCAGCTCCTCCGAGTGAGAGCTGACAATGTTCATGAGCTGCGAGAGCAGATCGATGCGCGCCAGCTTGCAGAGCGCCACTGCCTCCTCCCTGACATCCTCGATGACCTTCGGTTCGTCGACATCCGCCACGACCAGTCGCTCCGGGAAGAGCTTCACGCTCTTCTCGGCTATGATAGCATCCCGCACTGTGACCTTGATCTCCTGTATCATGCCACGCAGTCGCTGTATCTCCATCTCGTGTTGGTCGTGCACCACTGCCATGTTCTTGTTCTCCAGCGAGAGGATCTCCATGTGCTTGGCCAGAGTGCGCAGCTTGCCCACCGCCTCCTTCTGCTTCACCTGCTCGCACTTCTCCGCCTGCTGCTTGGCCTCGTAGGCTCTGCGGTACCGCAGCACCTCCACATACTTAGCCTTCAGTTTCTCATAGTTCTTGGTCAGTCCCTCGATGATTTTGATCTTGTTCACGGAATTCCGCACCAACTCATTCTTGATTTGGTCCAGGGCGCTGTACTGCTCCTCGATTTCCTTGTGCTTCGCCTTCTGGTTGGTGTACTGCTGCTGCAGCTTGATCTGTGACATCACCAGCAAATCGATCTCCTTCTGCAGGGCAATATTCTCGCGAATCAGGCGCCGCGTGTAGCCAGCGTTGCGGATCTCGCTGGAGCGTGTAAAGTCCTCGGACACTTGGAGCAACTTCTGCTCCACCTCCTTCTTCAACGCGTCCTTCTCGACCACCGCCCGTTGCTCCATGTTGTATAGCGCCTCCTTTTGCTCCTTTTCCTTCTCCTTGAGATCCGCCTCCTGGTCATCGAACTTCGCTAGGAGTATGTCCCGCTGTATGCGGAACTCATCCAGCGAATTCAGTTTGCCATTCAGCAGCTTTATCTCGGACGTCAGCTGGTCGTGCATGGCCTTGTACTTGCCCTCCAGGTCGCCAATCTTCTCTTGCGCTCTCTTGTTCTCCTCATCCCGCACCTTGGTGATCTCCAACAGTCGCTCCTCCAGCTCGGTGATGGAGCTGTTGCGCTCCGCCAGCGTGCGCTCCAGATGAGCAGCCACATCCGTGCGATCGATCTCCACTTCCTTCAGCTGCTCATTCAGCACAATGTTCGACTCGTCCAGGGTGGACAAATGTGAACGGAGGCGTGCCAGCTTCTGATTGAGATCCGTTATTGTCAGCTCATAGAAGGTACGATCCACCATGGTAATCTTGTTGGGATCCTTCTTCTCCTTTTTTCCTTTCTTCTTCGGCGGCATCTTGATGTAATTTCTGCGACTTTCGACTTAGTAAATTTCCAACTTTGTGTGTTTGAATTTTGTTTTGATTCAGCTATGATAATGACAGAAGAGATGCGGGACTCCTGCCGTTTCGTTTGAGTAAAGTAATTCAATAAATTCCTAAACAAGCAGCAAAGCTCCAGCGTTGTCAAGGCTATGAGCTTTGCAGCAAAAGCTTTTGTCAAAGCTGCGATACACCATAAATAAACAGTGCAAGCTTTCGCTTACTCCACAGCTAACGGAAACTGTAAATTTGGCATAAATATTTCACAATTATGACTGCTAAGAGAATAGGTTTCTAGGTTCCTAGAAACCAATAAAAACATGAAAATATAAAGTGCAAAAGTTCATTGCTTCTTGTCACAATAATTATGAAGTGCAAACTATTTTGTATTTGGGTGAAAGACTGCTTGCTGTACCCACTTCAATGTACTCCCCTTCATTGTGCCCCTCCATTGTTCTGTGTGCTGCACAGCCAGCGGCAAGGCAGCGCTGTGGACCTACACCTACTGTCAGTAGTAAGTGCGGCAAACATTTAAAAACTTGGGCCTGTAATTGTTCTGAACAAGTTGGCAAACTGTGAACTAATGTGTCCCGGCTCCTATCTGTGCCGGAAGTTTTCGTATAATGAAATGCACGGTCGGACGGGGGAGGCGTAACGCGCACTGTTTCCCCACAAAAGAAACAAAAAAACGATGAAGTGAGCCGACGACACCGACACCGCTGCTGCCGCGCACTTGTCGGAAGTGCCGTAAAATCCCGCATGCTGTCGCCCCACACACCCCCACAGGCCTCCCAAAACACAGATAGCAAATGGAGTCGTTCGTTTGCCGTACAGACGAACAAAAACAATGAAATAGTTGTACAGAGTGCAGCAGGGCATGTTACTCTGCGGGGGAAAAGGGAGGGAAGCCAAGTGGATTGCGAACTAAACTGGAAAGAATACCCCCCGACAAGGGAGCAGAAAAACAAATGCCTAAACTTTAGCACTTATTCCGTGTGAGTCTCGCTCGATACAAATTTACAGATGTAAGCATTGCATTAATCATTCCCTCAAGCATTCAATCAAACTTTGACAATCAACTACATGGCATTAAGACTGCGAAAGCCCTTTGAGAAGCTCAACAAATCCCAAGCTAGTTTCATTCTATTTATATTATTGGATATTTGATATCTTATTAGTGTACAAACCTCACAGAACTTGGCTCCGTAGCGCGGCGGTGGGGAATCGCAGAAACGGTAGCGATTTCGGGTTCCTCCCAGGCAGTTGGTGGAGCAAGACGTCCACTCGCTCCATGCACCCCAGCCACCAGTATCGGAATCTGCAGAGTAAATATTAAGCTGAAAAACCAAGAAAATAGACTGAAAAACTTACCGCTGACTGGCAGTGTAGGAACGCAGTCCATGCGCACATCTGCCACCGCGCCAGAAATTGCCTGACTGACGTACACAAAGCAATACTCCACGTACTTCTCGGAGAATAGTTCGCAGGAGAAGTACAACGAGTGCTGGCTCTTGACCACCCGCTGCTCGGCGACATAGTGCAGCGATGTGGGGGGCTTCAGGGAGGCCACATCCGCACGCAGCTTCGCGTAGAGGCGCACCCGATCGCCCTGCTCCAGAATGCAGCCGGGATACTCGTACAACACACCAATGCCCGTGTGTGGATCGCAGGGAAAGATGCTCCGGGCATACACATTGAAGACAAACTCATCGCTCCAGTCCACGCTGAGCAGCCGCCGGGTGGTGGGCACATTCTGGGAAGCTACCATGGGCCGCAGCTGAACGGCATAGTTCCCGGCCAGACCGAACAGCTGGCAGCCCAGATGCAGGCTTTTGTTCTTGGGAAAGCCACGCACCTGCTCGGCAAAGAGCACGCTGGACCGGGAGACATTCAAGCTGCAGCTGCGCTCTTTGCCGCAGTAAACCAGCTCCAGCCAGAACTCGGGCAGCCCGGGAACCTTCCCCGCTTCATCGCAATTGACTTCGGGAAAGCGAAGCGTCACCTCCACAGGGGCCTTGGGGTAGGTGCGCAGGCGCACCGGACTGACGATCATCTCGGCACTGGGCCACCGCACATCGAGTGTCTGCTGCAGCCGCTCATCCTGTGCTGGCACAAGCGTTGTCGTTGTCAGAATGGGTCTGGTTTCACTGCTGTTTCCTCGTTCCTGGTTTGAGGGTGCTTCCGATATGGTCTTTAGGTTGCTGACAACCTGCATCTCATAGAGGCCGCCCAGAAAGAAGGTCTGACAGGGCACGGTCACCTGTGTAACATTGAAGCGTGGATCCGGAAAGAGGGGTATGTTCTGGACCACCTCCTTGCGCTTCCGCTGGAGCAGCACCTGGCTGCCATTGCTGCTGGCTCTGGTGCTGCCATCGTGCTGCCCTGATGCCAAGCCCTTTTCCGGTGAGGGCACGACCTCATCAATGATTTTGCTAATGACTAAAGTGCTCATTATGGTATTCCTGCTCGTCAAGGAGTCCCTCTCCATCGCCTGCTCCTTGTGCTGCTGTGATGCTCCTCGTTCGTCGCTGCTCAAGTGTGGGGGCGTGACAGGCGGCCCTGTGTCGTTTCCATTGAACTGAATCTGCACATGCAGGTCCCCGCTGAGTGCAGTGAATGTGCTCGGGGACATCAGGCGACCCTTTCGCACCGCCAGCACGTGACCTTTTGTCGAAATCGAGCCAAAGACAGAGGCCGAACGGAGCACAATGCGAGCAGAAGCCACAGCAAAAGCCGCCGCATGAGAAAGAGAGATGAGAGATACAAATTATAAATCCCTGTAATTCATTTCTTGTTCCCCCCCACAGTCCGCACTCCGCACTCCGCTCTCCGCTCTCCGCCTCATGGCCCCATTTCAAGCGATTCATTCAGGCTTTTGTGTGCGTTGTCGTCGTCCCTCTGGTGGTGTAAATTGAGATGGAAACAGAAGAGCCACAACAAAAGCTCTCCCATTTACGGATTAAGAAGACAAAACAAAAGCAACAGGAAAAGCTGCGCCACGGCACACCGAACAACTCATACCCTTTGGCATTCAGTGGGTTCTGCGTATGTGATTTTAGAAATCCTTAAACCCCTTGTCAAAGTCTGTTTAATTGAGTGACACCTGGAGACAACGGCTAGCGAGTGTGCCACACTCACCCCTGCAGCTGGAAAGGTCTGAATGTATTCTGAAGTTTACTGATTTACTGACTCAATAATGAACACAACAAATGGAGCTACTTTGAACTATGAAACAGGTTCCCCGATTTTATATTCGATTTCTCTACTCCTAAATATATTCCCCTCCTTGCAGTCTAGTTTGGTGTCAAAAGCACTAAGTTTCACTCACTTGTTTCACTCAGCAGGAGCAGCAACATTATGGCTGATATAATAATTTTCCACTTGACTACTGATTCGAGGCCTGGTGCCATCATTCCAATTGTCTTCTTTCGCTTCTCTTTCATATTTTTTCTCCTTTTGTCCTGTTTTATTTGTGCCTTGTGCTCCCAATTTAGTCAATGGATTGGGTCCACCGGAGCTGCTGCTGCTGCTGTCACTACTTTGGCTGGGGTTGCTGCCGCAGCGGCACTGGGACAGTAGCCGGGAGCAATCGGAGCTGGGCGCTGGCTGTTATCCCTCATGGGGGCACAATTTGGCTTGGCATCTGGTTAGCTCTTATCGCTGGAGGAAGAAGGTGCCGCGCCGTGCCGTGGACATATTCTGAAAGACAAATACAGAGAGGGAGCCACACAAATCAATTGCAGGTAAAGTCTAATGCAAAAATAAGATAAGGGAACCGAAATGAACACAGGACTGTGAGAGGTTTGATGAATGGTTAGCGTATGCCCCAGATTCTGCCTTTGCTCTCTGCCCAAAGGGGCATTTTATAAGGGAATTTGGGATTCTTTTTCCATCTTTTTCCCCCATTAAAGCTCTCCCCACTACTCTCTGAGCTCCCAAGTAACTTCTTCCAGCCGAAGCTAATATTATACCGAATGGGATACCAAAACGTATTCCAAAACTCTTTGTGAAAGTACTTTTAAGCATTAACTATGAATCAGCAGCAGTCCCCTGGCATTTTTCTCTGTCTGGACCGCTTTCCGTTTGAGCTTAAAAAGTCACTTTCGATTCGATGATAGTACTCGTGCAAGGCAAACAATACAAATGACAACTCAACTGAAAGAAAAAAAAACCTTAAAAGTAAGTGCCAGCAGCAAAGGGTGTCAACGGCCCCCTTTCGGACAATAAAACATTCCCCACTCCCAGCCACCCCCTAAGCCAAGACAAAAACCCACCTCACATGTATGCCCTAGACCGTGCATCTACATACATAAGCGAATCAGATTGTTGTTCATATGTAGGTATGTATATTGTATGCTTTTGTGTATGAAAACTCCTTTGTGCCCCAAAAGAAAACAGAAATCAAGAACCAATTGTTAGGTCAAACATTGCGACTAAAAGATACCCGTTCCCGGAGATATTCAGAGGGAATTTGGGAAGGTGGAAAGTTGAACAAAAGTTTATAACTTATACCATAACCCATAGAACCGATTCCGCCAGATCCATGATACATATATAACCATAGCAATAGAGGCATATTTTGTATCAAAAAAACCTTCCTGGCTCTACCAACTCCTTTTGTACTTCGTGCACCCACAATATGCCCTTGGAGCCATCAAAATATTGGGTATCAAAAACAGAATCAACCCTCATAAATTCTTAAACCAATTACAAGTCGTGCACGAAGCATTTTTATGGCGATTATTTTCACAATTCAATGCAATTTCATGAAAGCTATGGCCCAGTCCAGTCCCAGTCCAAGACACAAGCGAAATAAAACGAACATAAAACTAAGCAAAATTGTGATTCCAAGTGCCAGGGCAGAGCCTGCTCCTTATGATGCTCACTTCAAAGTAATAACAATAATAGCACAGACACTGCTTAGGCAGAATTGCCAGAAATAACTCGCTTTATGTGTCACTTGGAAGCACAATTGTTGCCACAGTGTCCATAATTTGTAAATTATTGTGGCATAAGCACTCGAAACTATCTCTCTAATGGCACATTTAACATGCGTTTAGTCAAAGGACATTTTCAATTTCAATTTGTGGAGTAATTTTAGCTTTTATGTGGCACTTTCGTTTCCATTTTCGCCCATTAGTCTGACTGCAGCTGACAGATGGACGCTAACGCTTGAGTTACTGTGGCCCTGGGCGAGTATTAGTTATCAATTCGTTGTGTTGACCCATCCAAAAACCATCGGTGGAGTGCCGAGACCACTCAGATGTGTGTTCGATGTGTTTGCTTCCACACCATAATTAAATAACTTTCGTACAAACACTTTCTGAAGCAAGACAGCCCCAGCTCCAGGTGTGGCCATTCATCATGGGCATCCCCCTAACATATATGACGACTGAATCAACGTACAAGCCGTAAACTTTATGCTGTAGCTATTTCCAGGTGCCTAAATCAACCGCCAACCCCTTGCTGCAGCCTTCCTTCATCATTAGCGAAATCTGCCAGCGTCATTGGACCCTGCCGCACCCCATCCTTCCGCTCTCCGTAGGAGTGTAACTTTAATTACGGACACGCACGGATCGTATACCGATAGGCAGATGGCACATTGCACGCCTTTCGCGCTAATGAGTCGGACCTGCCCGGGGTATCCACATGACACATCTGTCCGCCAGTCCGTCCGTGAGCATTGGAACGAACATTTCTCAGTGGAGGGACAAGCGATTGCTGGCTGTAAGCTCCATCGAATTTGTGGCTTGTCTACAGCCAGACGATTGGGCGATACACATCAAACTCTGGCACTTTAATTTTGTGCATTCTCCGCTGCCTTTTTCTATGCTCTTTCGGAATACTCTTGGCAATATTTGATTCAACTTTTAAATGGGAAATTTATTATGGGATAAGCCATTGCCTGAGGGCTATTAGGGCATATCAGTTTCCATGCCATTTATAAAGTGTGGAAAATGAAAGGCACTTTTCATTGCCAAAAATTTGCTAAACTTTGCGCTGTGCCATCCCCCCCCACTGTGCAACAAGGGAACGCCCACCGTCATGATTATCGATGTCGCTGTCGGCGATCGGAGGGTGGCTGGTGGATGCCATCGGAAAACTATTAACTGCACTGTGAGGTCCTTTGCATGGCCCATTATCCTGCCAGCCAGTCGACACTCGCCACTCGCCACCCGCCACCCGCCACCCGAAACTGACGCTAATCGCTCGCCTGTCCCGAGCCTGGGACCGCTACACAGGCCTCCCAATCGACGCAGCGTGGAAAATCAAAGTGATTGCGGCAAAGAAAATTATGGTGCATGCCTGGTGCCTGGACTTGGACCTAGGGGGCAGTGCGACACGGCTCTACATGTCAATGCCCCTGCCTGACTGGTTTTTGCGCCGTCTGGCTACGCTACCAATTCCACCCTCGCCTCTGCCTCCGCCACCGCCTCAGCCTGAGCCACTGCCACGGCAGAGTATCTCCACCCTGCGAGCCCAGCCAGAGTGCTGTTATTCATTATATTTTGTGGGCAGGGAAAACTCTGCATGGACTTCGCCGGGGGTGACTCCTCGTCTATGGAAAACTCACCACAACCACACACACACACACAGCAGAGAACAGACGAGAACTCGTCGTACCTCCGTTGGGGCGAAACTTTAAAATGCGCAAAATTCACCCACAGAGGAAAAAGGGGAAAAAATGCAGATTTTGAATACATATCCACACATTTACATGCTCTGTTTACTCTTAATCAATGGACAAGGCTGAGAACAAGCTGAGTTTGCGGGGTTTTCCATGTCCGGTTATGGCGGGTTGTGTGGGAGAGGGAGCCACAGCCCGCATGCGGTTCAAAGTCTCGCCTCAATGGGAGGAGGACTCTCTCTGGCAAATGGGCTTAAAACTACACATAATAAATCCCCCCTGGGTTGTAATTGCCCAACCTGGACCACAGCCATACACAAGCTTGTCCTCATTTCACCCAAAATGATGGTAAGCAAAGGCAAAAGCAAAAGCAAAGCTAAACAGGCAGGTACATGGGTATTAGGCCACGGCTAAAAGCATTCACTGAGGGATGCAACTTTTACGAGTGCATAAAACAAGAGAGAAAAATCGAAAGCAGCTTAATCAGCAGAGGATAGTGGAATTTATAGTAGATTTAAATATAAATACAGCATTTAAGCTACAACTTATTTTGGGAAATCATTTGTAGACTCTGCTGCCCCTTTGTGGCTGTGCTTCTCTGCAGTTTCATCAACTGCTCGGTTCATCCACTTGTAAACCGCTGACCCAAGCCGTCAGTGCAAAAATAAATGCAACTCAAAAGGGGTAAAGCTAGAGCAAAAATGTGGCAAAGCACGACGGTGTCTTAGTTGTCGGTGCACTTGACACCGAAACCACAAAGACTTTAACTACAACGATTTCCATGGCACGTCAACCCAAGAAAGGCAAGTATTTAAATTCCATTTTAACACAAAAGAACTATCCTCACCTATGTAAGTTTTCCTCCGTTCTTTGAAGCTCCCACTAATTGTGTGTCAGAAATGCTGAAACTTGAAGTTAGCTGGAGGTTGGGAAATTTGTTTCTAAGTTTAGTTTTTTCAATGCAGTTTCCTCCCACAAGCAAATCGTTTTTAGCATCAATAGATCCCTGAACATCTCTACCATAAAAAAGGAAGAATCAAAGTGAAAAATACCCGATGATGGATAGAAATATTCCCAACACTTGCATGGTGCATCCAATCCACTGGGAGTGGAGCGTACGAGTATGTTGGGTTCGCTTATAAAATTGTAAAGCAATTTGAACTCCAGACTGGATCTCCGCTGGTGGCATTTTCCACAAGACTAACCGCAACAGAGGCACTCGCGTGCCCCATGCAATTGACATTGACGTTGGCGCCAAGCTGTGGGTGGTAGGGAGTTGGGAGTTCCTTTTGGTGCTTCCAACTCCTGCCGTGGCTCGTAACTCTTTCATCAGAACTAAGGGTACCTCATCATGCGAGAACTGCTCGCATGAAGCCTCAACAGTAAATAAAGGCACGACTTTATTAGAATGGAGGTGCAAAGAGCTTATCCACCGCAGACGGCCCTCAGGACGAATGCAGCACAGAGAGAGAATGGAGCGAGGGGTTCTGCCATGCCTCTGCCGTATGGAAATGGAATGCATTACACGAACAAAGCTACTCAAGCGAGCGCCCTGGGGCAACGACTGGATTGCATGCAGGTGGACATTAAAGAGAGTCGACACCGACCCCAATCCCTGCCGAATATGACTATGACTCCTCCTATCCGCTAGCCAGCTAGCCAGCCAGCAAGTGCTACTTAATAATTGAAGACGCTGGCATTCGCAGCGTCGTAAACTTGTCGAGAGCCACAGCCAGAGTCTGGCTCTACCAACGTCACTTTAATAAACGTCTGCGACGTCTGCCCAGGAAACTTCCCAGCGACTAGACCACAATCTAAGACAGTCCTTTTTGGCTTCTAGAAATGCAGACTAGAGCCCGACCCCTTTGGGGGCTTAAGTGTGTGTGTGGGTGTGTTCGTTCCGATTCTGGCTTGGCATCCGCCTCTCTGCTGCCTCTAAACTAAATGTGCACTTAAATCAGTCGGAGTCCGCCTCCTGTCGTCCGCACTGCAAGCTCCTCGCCCCTAGACCGCCCTCGAGCGAGTGTCTTGTGGCTGTCGTCTTTGTTTCGTACCGCTCCAGGCAGAGTCC